TCCCCCTCCTCGTGACATGTTAGTACACAGAAGTTAAAATTTGCATAAAGTGGAGTCTTGGAGATTTTCTCAGATTTTTACGCGCCCACTTGTCGCATGTGGGTCGCGAGCCCCGGCCTGCTCGTTGTGTCATAACAATGTCATCATCTTGGAGAGCAAAAACAAATAAAAAAATTACAAGACAACGGCCTCGGCGCCATCACTACGTACAGGTCATCTCAAAGCTGTAGCCTCAAAATGGAGAAAAATTAAAAAAAACAGTTCATCAGCCGATCCTCTTCCTCCTCTTTGATGAGGAAGAGGAGGAAAAAAAGTCTCTTCACTACAAGCAACTAATCTACAAAGATGCTGCGACTGATCTACGTTGCTCTTTGTATCTCAGTTGACACGTGGATGGAGAGGTGATTATATATGAGAATACTATCTGATGGATTATTCTTCTAATATGAATATAATTGTTATTATTAGTATAATCATAAACAGTATGGGAGCTCTGGATTATTATCGTTTTGTTCAGTCATTTGTGGAGAAAGGAAAGGTGGGGGTGGGGGGGGGGTGGGTTGTTTGCGAGGACTGACTCACATGAAGAACTCTGGAGATGAGGGGTTGTCACTGGTGGAGCCGGCCTCGCGGAACCCGTTGTTGGGCCCCGACCCCGTCAGTTTCTCACACTTGAGTTTGTAGGCGTCCCTCTCGCGCGCCAGCCGGCTGATCTCCGCCTTCAGGTGCTCCACCTGGTCGACCAGCTGCGTCTTCTCGTTCTCCAGCACGTGCTTCTGCTGCACCCGCTTGTACCGGCAGGACTGCGCGTAGCCCCGGTTCTTCAGGGTCCGGCGCTTCTGCTTGAGGCGGATGACCTCGTCCTTGGTGAAGCCCCGCAGGTGTCTGTTGAGCTCCCGCACCGACATGGACACCAGCTGGTCGTCGGAGAAGCGGTCCTCCACGTTGAGTCCGCCCCCGGAGCCGTGGTGCCCCGCCGACTGGCCCAGATGGTGGTGGTGATGGCGGTGGTGATGCAGCGACTGGTGGGAGTCCGGGGACATCGGGGACGGGCTGTCGGGGTCCTGGCTGTGGTGGTGGTGGTGCTGGTGCTGGCTGTGCGGGTGGCTGTGTCCGCCCGGGTGCCCGGACAGCTCGTCGCCGTGGTGCGGGATGCCCCCCGCGTACGGGTGATGGTGCTGTTGGCCGTGGCCGTGGTGGCTGTGCTGGTGGTGCGGGGCCCCCCTGTAGCCCTCGAAGGTGCCTTGCTGCTGCAGCTGCTGCTGGACGTGCGGAGGCGGAGGGTGGCCGTGAGCCGTGGCTCCGATCAGGGCCTCCACCGCGTCCTCCGGGGTCAGGCTCAGCGTCTGCGGGTCTATCTGCTGGTGGTACCCGCCGTTCGGCATCCAGTACAGCTCCTCCAGGTGGCTCTTCTGCTCCGTGGGGCTGAAGCTGGGCGAGGATGGCACCGAGCTGCAGGGCGTGCTGATCGGGGTGGACGACACGGAGCCCTGCGTCTGGAGTCGGTTACACTGGCGCACCCCGTTGCGCTCCAGCCCGGCCAGGCCTTCCTTCTTCACGTCGAACTTCATCAGGTCAAAATCGTTGACGTATTCCAGAGCCAGAGGGCTGCTGGGTAGCTCCGGGCCAATGCTCATCTCCGCGCTCATGCTGCCGCCGCGGCTCTTCTGCAGATGCGCGGAGGTGCCCGCGAGCGTTGCGAAAACCGACTGGTGACTCTCTCTCCTCTCTTGTTTCATGCAATAGTTCTTTGGGCTCCTCCACCGCTGTGCGCAGACTTGCTGTAGCATGAAACACCGTGAGATCGGTGGAGGAAAAAAGAGAAAAGGAAAAATGAAAAAAAAAAAAGTAGTGGAGGAAAACTTTCGCTCTAAAGCTCTGCACACGGGTTTTGCGTCATGTAGCCTACTTCTGCTGGGATAATCTGGCAGAGAGACCAGGCCGGAGGTAGGAAGCAAAAAGACTCTCAGTGCAAAAGTAAAAAAAACTCAGTCCCTTCAGTAGAAGTGTGTATTCACACACACGCGCACACACAAAAACAACAAGATAAATAATAATAATAAAAGCAATACCACGTCTGTTCGCTGAAACGGGCACCAGTCCTCGTCGCGACTTCTTCGGGTTATAAGTCCGTTTTTTTTTCTCCAGGAGAATAACAGAAAGCGAATAAAGCGGAGTAAAATAGGGCGTCTGAATTCTTATTTTTTTCCGCTGAGAAGCTGCTTTTCCAGCTCTGCACCGCAGAGATTCAAAAAGGCTCGCCTCTCTCTCGCGCTCTCTCTCCACTCCGTGGTATCCAGCAGACTGCGCTCGGAGCCAGTCGGCGCTTTATGCTTATAGCGCGCCGTGACGTCGCGCTGGAAGGGCTGGATCCTGAACGCGCGGCTCTCCAATGGGAGCGGTGGACGCTGCGCTGGAAGAGAGGAGGAGGAGGAGGGAGGGAGGGGGAGAGGAGGGGCTCACGGCACGGTCCTGACAGCTACAGACAGTCAGCTGACCCGACTTCCCTAAAAGCAGAAGGTGAGAGAGAGAGAGAGAGAGAGAGAGAGAGAGAGAGAGAGAGAGAGAGAGAGAGAGAGAGAGATGCCTCCACTCCACGGACACCACTCCGCTGTAGCACGCGCCGCTCACTACATGCTGTAAACTCAACGGAAAGCTTCTATGGCACAAGACTCCCTTAGAAAACCTAGTAATTTAACAAAATGTATAATATTATTACTTCAGTTTATATAAAATATATGGAAACCATCTTCACTTACAGCATTGTCCAGAAAAAACACCGAAAGAAACAGATACAGTGCACGTGCATTCCTAATGTTGCAACAATACCATTCGCCTTTTAAAAAACATGATTTATTTGACTTATTAAATGACTCTTTTGTTTCTGCACCTGCTTTATGTTGCAGTGCCTTTTTATAAGTTCGCTTCAAATTTCACAAAGCAACCAATCACACGCACGTGAGGCTGCACTCTGCAGCCGATACAAAGGTCGAGGTGATGTTTTGTAGGTCGCCAATTTCTCTCACACAGTTGAAACGTTGAATCGTGATCTTTTTCTCGCCAACAAGGACCACGTGACTTTATCCTGTTACTCCGCTCTCTTCCAGCTTTTCATTTACTGTTGTTGTCATTTTTCTACATAATAAACATAACAACCTGCATGGTGGAGGATGCAGTCATATAAACACACTTGTCCTGCAGTCCGACTTGGAGCTCTGTGATGGATATATATGGTGACCTCTGCACTGCACTTCATACATGTGTTGCATCATTTAGGCTGTGTAGTTCTATAACCCTGTGTTTTAATCATTGTGGGTTAAGTGCGTGTTTTCTGAAGATATCAAGTTGACTTTGTTACACATCGGGCTCCTCTCGGCTCGGACGGCCTGTTGGATTCAGCCAGAAAACCGGCTCAAGGCTGCCCCTGCGTGGACAACACGCGAACCGATGGAGCTGCTCACATACATTACCTTTTATTTTTTGTATTTGTATTATCTCCTCAGCGCTTATTGCCCGTTTTAAAGGTCACATCCTGCAATTATGACGAACAACAATTAATCCGTCGATTGAGTCTCATAAACACAGAGCGTCACGTGTCCAGTCACCTCGCTGTCTAACAGGTGGGAGGGAAAAACACAACAGGATCAGATCCTCCAGGATGTGTCTCAATGATTTGATTTGTATTTTAATTGCAAGAAGTAAGAAAAATAAAAAATTAGGCAAATGTCCTGCAAAAAAAGAGAGGAAGAAAGTGCGTGTAAATGAGTCAATCTGAAGGATCGATGGGATTATCATTTGGTTTCCTCCTCATATCCACGGCTGAGTACAGCCGCGACCGGAGCGTATTGATCAGGCTGCTGCGCGTGAGAGGAGGCTGCCAAAGATGACGATCCGATAATGAAGGGCTCGTTTGTTTGGCTTCCGTTCTTAATCAGCTCGAGCTGTGCGCCCGTGATGAACTGCAAATCCACTCATAAATCATAACTCATAATATCCGAACGTGCTTTAGTTAAGATTGTTTTTTATTTTAACACATTTCAAGTTGCAGTTTGGGGAATATATTAAATTGATATTCCAGCTTAGATGAAAAGTCTGACTTTATACACATATGAAAATAAAAATAAAATAAAGCTACAAATATATTAAATCAAATGATTACAGAGTATTTACACATTTTAAAGAGATTTTCTAAAAAGAATATCATGAGAAACGAATATCACTTACCTATTTGTCATCGTTTATTAATATTAATAGTATCATAATGATGGTTCTCGTTATTTTAAGATTATTATTAATATTATACGATTCTAAACGCAAACAGACACTATTTTGGAACTAAATGACATAATAATAATTGACTTTTTTTGATAATTAAAGTGCACTTTAAAGCGACTCTGGATATATTTGTTCCTCGTGTGATAATTTTTTAAAGCTTTTATCGAGTCAGACGTTATTTATCCTGAACCTCTTTTTAAATCGAAAGCCTATTTAGACATCTGGATACATCAGCTCACACTGATGCACTCCAATACAAACTAAAGTCTTTTATTTCCTCGTGCAGGTAGCGTTCATCCTCTTTTTATTCCCCTTTAACTGCAGGCGAGCTTCTCAATTCTCTGCTCCAACTTCAAAAGCGCCCTGAGCGAGTCGTGCCGAGCCGTGCCGTGCCGCGCCGAGCTGCTCTAAAAAACCTCTTCCTAGCGAGGCCGACCCGCCGGCAGCCCCCATTAGGTCGTAACGCTCTCTAATATAGCCCGAGTCCACCGTCTAATAGATCCAGGCAGGCCTGCCGGCGGCTCTCCCCCTCCGGTAATAACGGGCTGTAATGGAGAGGCGAGATGTAAAAAAAAAAAAAAAAAAGCGTCCATGTCAGCAGCATATCGGTGGTTAATGATCTATTAAGTGATCCGCGTGCTTATGGACAGCGGGCAGAGAGAGAAAATAAAAAGTGTCGATGCTTGCTTATTCGCCCCTCTAATGAGAGTCCCATCCTACGGATTTTAAAGGAATGAATAACAAGAAATAAAAATCACCTTTTTTTTTTAAACGACATGTTTAACAGTTGGCGCGTGCAGGCTGCGGCGGCTGCAGTTGCTTTCCCAACAGCTCAACATCTCACACCTGCAACAGGGCCCCGCTGCTTCCACGCAGGAGGCCCGTAAGAGAGCCACGATTCTCCTCCACAAACCCGGATCTGTATTCTGCTCCAGGACCTACACGCGTGCACGTGCTGTCCGGAGGCCCAGGGGGGGATCGGATCTGTATGAGCTCCAACCTAGTCTACATGGAAGGATGCATCGACTATAAGAATACCTTTTTTATTATTATTGTGACTGTGAGGTTTTATTCGCTCGTTATTCGCGTGCGTAATGATGGACCCTAACGCCCCCCCCCCTCCCCGACCCTTCCTGGACAAATGTTGCAGAACTAACTGCGGAAGGTAGAGCCGGGATGGAAGGCCCCCGTGTCAGGCAGGGTGCGGAGATGGAGAGAGACGGTGCTATTTCGGAGGTGCCGCTTTTGATGAGCTATTTTTGACGCACGGAGGGAGCGATGAGAGAGAGAGAGAGAGACGCGCAGAGCTCGTGCATGCGGCGATGTCCAAAAGTTTTACCCCCAACAGCAATCGTGACGCAACAACTGCTGATTTGAAACTGAATCATAAGTGAGGTTTCACTTGATGAACTAAAACAATGCTGCATCTCTCTCTATGTTCAGCTCACCTGGTTTATGTTGCATATTATCTGATGAATGAAACATCACAATTGTCAATTTGCCATAATTTAAATTGCCCTTGCGCAGATTCATGTTCAATTATGTACCGGAATTCTACAGCTACAACGTATTAAACATGCTTTAACTGTACCTGTCTCTCCACCACGAATCACACGTGTGTTTCCATTAATGGACTTGTTTTAATGACGAAAAGAAAATGCCAAAGAGACGATTTTCTAAAATTCTATTATTATTATTTTTTCATCGTTTGCCTCTCTGATCTAATCTCTTCCGTCTTACAACTCCTCTGGTGTTCTTGTTCTCTCCAGACTGATCGATTAACTCTGTGACAACATGTATTATTAAGACATGTCGTCTGTGTAAACAGGCCGCGGAAGAAAGATCACTTCCCCATCAGGGATCATTAACAGACGAGTCTTTCAGGGGGAAAACAAAACAACAAGAGGTGAGATGAGTGCCAACATCTGGCATTAATATGAAAAAGTATCGATTTAACAGTGAAAATCAATTGTTTATCTTTAAAAAACAAAAAAAAAGAAATCAGTCCGCCTCGTGCATAGGCCTACTTTCTGACAGTCGTAATTCTTCACCGGTGTTATCACAGCAGTCCCTCTCATTTACCCGCTGAGCAGAGTTTGCAGAGGAATTACACCTTATTTCTTGTGACAGGGCGCCTCTGGTGGCGCGTTTACTCACTGCTAATAGTTTGATGTGCAGCATCAGTGACATGCAGTCTCCTTTCCTGCCTCTAACCTCATGCAGACAGCTCCAACTTCTTTTTTTCTTTCTTTTAAAGAAATGACAGAGAGGCAGAGATGATATAAGAACATGATGTTGAGGCCAAGGCTTAATTGTAGGCCTTTTCTGAGATTAGATGTCTCTGATTGACATGCTGTAAATATAACAGCAAATAAATGTCAGTGAGCACTGTACTGGCTTAATCCCAGAAGAAGAAAAAAAAGAACTATAAATCTGCCTTTTGCTGCGGTCATTTCATTAATGTAAATTGCAATGCTATACAATAGTTTGGCTCCCTTCCAGTGGCTGAGGCTCATGCAGGTCTTATCATAAACCGGGGCCGTGCAGCCAGAATGTAGGCGACACCACAGAAACCAAATATCAGAGTGCAGGCATAGCGTAATTAAAGCCCATACTCTCTGGTCATAACCACAATTTACATCTGTATTTTCGAAAGCCAATAACCGGCTACTGTACCTCTGAAGAAACATGCAAGTAAGTCAATTCTCATGATGTATTGAATACGTTTATGATATTTTCCACTCTCGAGGAGCGCCTGCTTCTAGTAAAAATGTACTTGCCATACGCCCTCGTGTTGCCCCATGACATATTCTTTTTCTTTACTGTGTTATTTAGCTTTGTACAGTCAGTGGGCTCTCTGAAACGTCGTCTGGCATTAACATGTCAGTGTGGAGGAGCATCCTTTGTTGTTTGTGGCGTTCTCTAATTATCTTCATATGGAGTTGAAAGAACAAATCTCTGGTTTATATTAAACTTCCAGATCATATATATTCTGGAAAATATACATCACTTATGTCAGAGTAAAGAGAAGGCTTTAATAGGCCTCAGTGTAACATCTGAGAAGGCTTTTCTTTATTTTCCTGTCAAGTGTGTAATGTATGTTTATGATAAGACAC